TATGAAGAAGGAAGTGAAACGCTCAGCAAGCCAATTAGAAACGATAGGAGAAACCCTCACCAATAAGATGAATGAAATGGAAAACAATATCAAGACTGGACAATAAAGTGGACGAACTAGACCACTCAAGCAAAGATTATGAAAAATTTAAGAAAGCATAAGAATGGAGTATGCAGGAATTGTGTGACACCAAAAAAGACCAAACTTATGAATCATAGGCATACAGGAAGGAAAAGAACCCCAAGATAATGGCATAGACCAGATTTTCAACAGAATCATAGAAGAAATTCCCCAAATTAAAGAAAGACATGCCCAAACAAATACAAGAAGCATAGAGAACACCAAACAGACAGGACCAGAAAACAAACTCTCCACAGCACATCATAGAAAAAACACTAAACGTACAGAACGGAGACAATACTGAAAGCTGCAAAAGAAAAGTCACATATAAAGGAAAATCCATTAGGATTACAGCTGACTTTTCAGTGCAAACTACGAAAGCCAGAAGAGCCTGGACCAAATTATTCCAAGTTTTAAATGACCACAGATGCCAACCCAGATTCTATACCAGGCCAAAATGTCTATTATAGTTGAAGGGGAAAGAAAAATCTTCCAGGACATAAATAGGCTGAAGGAATTCATGTCCACAAAACCAGCCCTTCAGAGAGTTCTGGAAGCAATACAAAGAGCTCAAGAAAGGAATGACCATACCGAAGGGGCTGTGGGTAGAAATTCAATGAAGGTATAACTATGGAAAAGTACAGCTATATCAAGAATGTGAACAGAAATAAAAATGACAGGATTCAATACACATCTTTCATTAATAACCATCATATTAACGGACTGAATGCCCCAGTCAAAAGACAGACTAGGTGACTGAATTAAGAAACAAAACCCATCTTTTTGTTGTCTGCAAGAAACCCAACTCACTAGAGATGAAGAAGGCCCCTTCATTCTGATCCAAGGAACAATAAACCAAGAAGATATTGCAATCATGAACATATATTCAAACTCTGGTGCACCCAACTTCATAAAAACAATACTACAGGACTTTAAGACCCAGATTAATGCCAACTCATTAACAGTAGGGGACTTCAATACCCCACTGTCACCATTAGATAGGTCAACAGGGCAGAGAGTTAAAAGAAAGACATCTGAATTAAACAATACCATATATCAAATGGATCTAACAGACATCTACCGAGTATTTCACCCAAGCACCAAAAGACATACATTCTATTCAGTGACCCATGGAACGTTCTCCAAAACTGACCGTTTACTGTGGCACAAAAGAAACATCAACACATACAAAAAGATTGAAATACTTCCATGCATTCTATCAGAACACAATGCAATAAAGCTTAAAATCAAACTGGAAGAAGCCCTAGTCACCACATGAACACATGTAGATTAAACAACACATTCCTGAATGATGAATGGGTCAAAAGAGAAATTAAGAAAGAAATAGAAGTATTCCTGGAACTAAATGAAAAGGGCAATGGAACACAACAAAACCTCTGGGACATGCTGAAAGCTGTCCTTAGAGGGAAGT